AGCGATCCTTCCACCTCAGCCTTCCAAGTAGCTGGAATTACAGGCACGCGCTACCACGCCTGGCTGATTTTTGATTTACTTTTGGCTTTTTAGAGATAGGGTCTTGCTCATCAGGCTGGAGTGCACTGGCACAATCATAGCTTACTGCAGCCTCAAACACCTAAGCTCAAGCAATCCTCCCATCTCAGCTTCCTTACAGCTCTCAGCTGGGACTACAGGAACATGCCACCACATATAGCTGAATTTTTTTTTTTTTCATTTTATTAGAGACAGTCTCACTCTGTTGCCCAGGCATGTCTCAAACTCCTGGCCTCAAGCAATCCTCCTGCCTCAGCCTCTCGAGTAAGCTGGAATTACAGGTGTGCGCTATCACACCTAGCCTACACAAGGAAGGGCACAAAACCAAGACTGTTTTGCCACATAACCTCAGGATGGAATTCAATGCTGATCTAAATTCTTGGATGTTTTCCTTTGAGGTCTGGGATTGTGAACCTCTTCAGGCTCAATGATTATTTAGGCCATACATGACCATCAAAACTGGAGGACAGTCTAACTGCCACTGCTAAATAGCTTTAGCATTTCTAGCTAGAAATATTTTCACAAGCAAAACAGATTTATCAATCAAGGTCAGTGGGAAAAGACTGTGTAAAGTGCAAACCCATTTTAAGAGTCAATATGCTATGAATTCAGTTCCATGTTGACATTCCAGGCCTCCTTCTCACAGGAAGACCTTCTTTGTCTGTGACACAAATACCTCTGAGCTTCTATCACACAAGCAAAACTAAGTACAGAACACAGCAAAGTTATCAGTGAAGCAATTCTAGGTTCTATGCCATTGTTTGCCCAAGAGTGTTCCACAGTTAATAGGTATCAAGGAAGAGAGCTCCACGGTCAAGATAATTTGGGAAACAACACACATTAGCATTTCAAAGGTTCTACAAGGCTTGAATTCTTTAATATGCTGATGTGCGTTACAAACAACCGTATGTAAGATTGGTGGCAGGACCATTTTTGTGTAAAATTTTGTGGGATTAGTGTTCTATGAATATGCTTAGAGAAACACTTGTTTTAGATCAGCAACTGGAGGGTAGGAGGGTGCTACAGGAAGAAAATCTATTTACTACAGCTGTTCAAACACACACACAAAATAGTATGAGAAAATCTCAGCTAAGAATTTAAAATGAGAGTATGACAAGTACCGCCTTTCATAAAGACAAAAAATGGACTTACAGTTGGAGAAAACATATGATCCAAGGATTGCCTCCAATAGGGCATATCTGAGGTTCTGCACCAAAAAGTCATTAAAATTCACACCAATGTTATGAATTATAATGTATTTATTTTGAAACAGGATACATTCGACAAGCCCATAATTTAGTTAAGAAATTATAATGTAAAAATCAATACAGTAAATAAAAATTCTGTATAGAAATTTTGTCTAAGATCTCTCATGATTAATTATTCTGATAGTAGAACCACAGTTTAGGAAACTTTTTCTAAAGTAGACTAGTCATTCATTATTGACACCTCATACAGTGATAAAGACATAACATACTTCATAATATACTTCAGGTAGCTTGAATGGAACAAATTACTCAACAAAGTTGATTAGACATTCTGTGAAGCGAGCTACATTCTCTCATTGAGCTGGCCGAGTCTTTTCAAATTCGAGAAGCAGAAGGTGGAGCCCCTGCAGCCAGGAGCTCAGAGGCACAGCACAGCACCACTGGCCAGGGTCATGCTGCATCCCACATGGGCCTCCTCTTTAGCACATTTCCACTCGCCTGAAGAACCTGAGGCCTTAGCTATGCGTGGCTCTGGTAAGAATAATTTCTCACTTGCTCAGGAGATCCTCTATACCCCCTTCAGTATGAGCAATTGTGAGGGCTTACACTGTTGTTTTCCAAAAGATCCACCATCCATCTGTCCCACTGGGCGCTCAGGCCCAACGTCCTAACATCTAAGACCTCTTTTCCTGTGAGAGAAAATGGTTTCCCCACTTTAAGTTCTGCAGACTAAGTTTATTCTGAAAGGAATCTCTCTGAAGTTTAAGAAAGTGAAATTTACTTGTATTGTGCTATAGAAACAAGAAGCAAAGATTTGTTCTTGAAGATCCACTCATTTGCAACTTCAGAGTCCTGAGAAAGGATAAATATTTTTATAAGTACTTTTATTATAGTATTTTAAAAACACCAGTTAGGATTTATAAGGTATAGAATTCTATAATTTCAACACCAGAAAATGACCAGGTGATGCTTGCATAAAATTGGCAACTATCTTGCAGGAAGCTCAAGGATTTACAAGATGCTTTGAGTGATATTAGTCACAACAGACTGTCACAATCAAATATAACACAGAATGATGAAGAATGAGTAAGAAAGGATGAAGACCATGGGTCAGATGGCACTTTTGACCAGAAGGCTGACTCCCAGAGGTCAAGTCCTCAAGTCTCAGTAGAGAAGAAGCAACACCTCTCCCCCACCCCCCAACCCACAGGCACATTCTTGGTGTCTCAAATCTCACAGGGAGCTGGGAAGATTTAACCTCACCTCTCTGGACTACAAGACTGCTAGTAGCCCAGGGAAGTGCAGAGCTCTTGGAAGCTTCACACAAAGATGATGGTAGCCAGAAGCAAGGAGTCACTGAGGTTCTGAGACTCCCTGACATCCCCAAGGATTTTGGAGTTAGCTTAATACATTCTCCACTCCCAGCCCAAAGCTCTAAAATCTGGGTAAGCACATCTAGGATAGGTTCTCTGAATATTCTCACTATTGGGGAAGGTTGCAATTTGGCTGAAATGGCAAATTTTATTAATGGTGAGTGGCAATGACTCTTAGGTTTGATCACAGTGCATTTGTATATTTTCTTACTATTTTTGATAGATTTAAGTGTTATTTGCTTATTAACCATTTAAAAGAGGAATAATTCAGTAGAGGCAAATGGAAGGTTGAACAGGATCATTCTTCAGTAGTATCCAGCCTGGAGAGAGGAAAAAGGGATCCAGTTTACTCTGCTGGTTTAAAATCCTATCCACAACCAGTCTTGCAACATAAGCTCAGTACTGGGACTCTAACGAACACCCCGTCTTAAAAGACTCTAAATGCATTGTACAAAAAAGGCCTATGTATCCTTAAGAAGTCTTAAGTGTGGTATGGACTTAACATACCTTCCTCAAAACAACACCAACAAGACAAATGGTAATGGAAACTGTATTCTGTCCAAAGCAATGAGATAATATCAGAGTGGAGACGAGCTAAAAATACTCGTATTATTCTAGCATTTTAAATACGAAGCTGAAGTCTGTACATGAAACTTGAAAACTAATAAACAACTTTGTTTTTAAAAATCAAAAGTAGTACTGAATTCAACCTATCTTATTGAAGTTGAGGGAAGTCTGCTGCAACCTCAAGGTTCAAATGCCATATCTGTCAAAGGCCTAATGATATTTATCAACTTTAACTTTTATGTTTCTCAATCTTTTAAACTCATATCTTCTACAATGCTTTCTGGAGCTTTATTTTGTGTATAATAGTTATGGTCCAAATAGATTCTAATTCTAGTAATGTAATTAACAAAACCAAATCCAAGTGTATAACAAAATAAGTAAACTATTAAGTGCAGAAAAGTCATTTCAGAAAAATATTTGTAGGCAGGGCACAATGGTTTACAGCTATAGTGTCAGCCCTTTGGGAGGCCGAAACGGAAGGATCATATGAGCCCAGAAGTTCAAGAAAAATGTCTGTAATTACAGTAAGTAAAGACTCCCCAAGTAAATACACAATACAGATTCAAAGTCATTTATTTAAAATAAAAGGTGAATTGATAAAAACAAAATTAAAAGCTCAGAGAGAAAAGAGGAAAAGCAGCAATGAGGACAAGAAAACCAAATCTCAACCTACTCCTAGATTGAATCCAAAAAAAAAACATTAACTAAAAGCAATGAGAATTGAGAGGGAGAGTTGAAAGTGGTCTGGGAAATCATCGATGTGTACTCCCTCATTCTGTAGATGAGCAAGCTGAGGTCCAAGTAAGGGCTCAAAAAAGGTCTTGCCAAAGTCATAATGAAGTCAGCATCATAGTCAGGAATCAAAGCTACATTTTCTTGCTCCCAGCTAAAGGTTCTTATATATTGTTGCTCCTCTACACCCTCACAGAGAAACACCTGTCTGCCAAATCCTTCTGGGAGTACATATCTGCCTGGCACAGTGCACTGCACTGGGGGAGCCTCTTGCAGGGATGGCAAGCCTGGACAGCACAGGCTCAGCCTGGGCCTCCACATTTTCCATGAGGCTGAAAAATTTTATCCCAATCAAGAAGATGCGTATCAGGTTAGGGGACCATTGTCTTGGGAAAAGAGCAAAAGAGGTAGACAATGCACCAGAGACCCAACCAAACTTCCAACCACATCTCCAGCCTTAGGAAGAAGTAAGAGTAGAAATCCTCTAAATTGCACACTATGCCTTGATTCACTACGTTTTGCTACCATGAATTCCAAAGTCAAACTTTGTTTTAAAAAATCAAATCAAAATGATTCTGATTTTTTTTTGGAGATTATTCTCAAATAATGAGATAAAGAATTTCAGTGTGACTGTAAGTCTGAATTAGTCAGCTGCCACTTCCTCTAGGAGAGGTGAGTGGAAGGGGAAGAGGAATGAGGCTCACATGGCTGCGTTTTTTCTAGAAATGATATATGCTTCATCCAGACACAGCTAAGCCATTTCATTACCTCTGCATATTTCTCTTAGATTCCTAGTGACTTCTTAGATTCCATGATTCCTTTTAAAATCATGGATAAATTAGGTTTTAACACTCTGATACTTGGGACTAAGTCCAAAATGTCTAGAGACAAGTAAACTAAACATTATTTTTTCAATAACCCCTAAGTCTCCAACTGTGGGGGGGGGGTGGAAAGAAAACACTCCCCAATTTGGCCCACCTTACATACAGAAAGAAAAGAAGGGTTCCTACCTCACTCTTAACAGACAGAACTGGGTTTTGAAATCTGCTGTTCATCACTGTTTACTGGACCAACGCAGTCTGTGAACTACCAGAAAAATCAACAGGGCCTTTCTCCTCAGCACAGCTTGGTATTTCTGAGAAAACCCAAATGGTTTCAAATGCAACTGGTATCTCCAATTCCACCAAAACTGTGATACTGTAAGATGAGCCAACCCCCTTTTAAATTTCAAACAAAATATAGACACAGCTATTCCCATTACATGCTTAAATTTTGCCTCTCTTCTTTGCCCATTCTTCACTGATATTTTCAGTGTACTGCCTCAGCTGAGGGCTCCATGAACACAACTGCCTTTCTTCACCCACCTTAACTTTCATCATCATGGATTTCCTCCTTTTCCCCAAAGGTGCGCAAACTGCCTTGAGAAGGCAGCTGTCACTAGGGATTCTGTGCAAGCCCATCTCTATGATAATGAGTCACCAAAGACAAACTTTATCTGGTAGTCAACTTTGAAGGAAAAACACTCAAGTCTAATAAAACATCCCTCACCAAGTTGTTTCACTACCACTACCATCCACCAGAGTTCTCATCTCCTTCTCCATGGAATGCTAATTTTATGTATATTCAAGAAGAAAACTAAAACTGAAAAGGAAATACCAATACTAAAAGGATCAGAGGGTTAGACAGCTCAGAATTCTACAAGCAAGTTCTACAGTGTTTTAATCTCTTAGACCAGAGGTTGGCAAATGATAAAGTTAGGCTTTGAGGGCCGTTCAATCCCTATTGCAACTACTCAACCCTGTCACCATAGCATGAAAGCAGCAATGGATGACAAGTAAACAAATAAGTGTTGCTGTGTTATAATAACTTTACTGACAATGATCGGTAGCTGGTCAGCAGGCTGCAGTTAGCCAACCCTGTCTCAGACTCTACAAGTTATGTAGAGTCTTGTTAGAATATGCATCTGGCAACCATTGGGGCAGGACCAGAAAGACTGGCACTCATGAGGAATGAGGACTTACCTTGACAAGTACAGCTGCCACAATACCCAGGAAAGTGAGCAACAAGAGACCGAGTTTTCCTTTGTTGAAGCGTTTCAAGATGAAAAATTTTCCCCAATCCACCTTTGACTGGCTGTTAGGAGGATATCTGAGTTTGTTAGCACCTTCTCTCTTTAAACTTTTTAGCAAACAGGGACGCTGATGAGTAAAAGTATCAAAACTAAATTTTCCATGATAAGCCCCCATCCCACTGGAACCTGAAATAAAGAGAACAGACAAAACAGGCTTCACTGTAGGTGATGCAAGATACTTCCCTGTCTAAACAATGACAGAGAAAACCCAGGTACACTCCCTGATGCTTGAGGCACTCCCACTGAACTTTTCTGCCAGTAGAAGTATCTCTTTTCAGAAAATCCTTCTCAACATCCCTGGGAAGGTCAGTCTTCCTGTTACACAGGATGTTTTCCAAGAGCAGGGCAAGGACTCACAGCTCTTCTAAGGTGGTGGTTCTCATTTATGCCAGGGACTGTGCTAAGAGCTCAAATCCATTCTCTTAAGATAATTCTTACCACAACCCAACTTCATTAAATATCATCATTCTTATTTCCAGAGAGGGAAAGGAAGTTTACAGGGCCAGTTATCCTGCCCAAGGTCATATTGCTGGGTAAGTAGCAAAGCCTGAATGTGAAATTCAATCAGTCAGACTCTAAATGCTGTGTGCTCTTTTCCCACATTCCATGCGGATTTGTCCACAGCCCCACTCACCCACTTGCTTCCTCCAAGCCCCTAGAAAATAACAAAAATCAGCTGGGTAGAGTGGCTCAACCCTGTAATCCTAGCACTTTGGGAGGCTGAGGTAAGGGGACTGCATGAGCCTATGGGTTCGAGAACAGCCTGGGCAACTTGGCGAGACCTCATCTCTACAATAAATCAAAAATTAGCTGGGTGTGGTAGCACGTGCCTGTAGTTCCGGCTACTTGGAAGGCTGAGGTGGAAGGATCACCTGAGCCCAGCAGGTCAACACCAGGGTGGCCATGAGTGTACCACTGCACTCCAGCCTGGGTGACAGAGTGAGAATCTAAGACTCCAACTCAAAAAAAAAAAAAAAAAGAAAATAACAAAAACCAGGGTGACAGGGTTATGCAGCAGAGTGATAATAAGTGTAAATCTCTGCTCTCTAGAAAGCCATGCTCTAAACAGTTTCCATGTCTCTAATGTATTATGTGTACAACAGACTGACAGGTCAAAGGACAGAAGTGTATACCAGGCAGAGGGAACATATGTTCAGCACAGTGGTGTAAGGCACAGGTGACCAGAGGCCAAGACAGTTCCCCAGGGCTGGGCTGCAGGCAGAGGTCATTCATGGTGTGAGAAGAGACTCAAGGACAGGACTGACTGAGGGAGGATGGAGAATGGAAGGCCAGCCAAACACATGACCAAGGTAGGAAGGAAATGGGGACAGAATGCAGAAAAAGCTGAAGGAAGAAAAAATACTTAAAAATAAGATGAAAGCTAAAGAATCCGTATGAATAAAACTACAAAGTTTTACTGAAAAATATTAAAAAGTTATGTAAATGAAGAGATGATATAATATGTTCCTATTAAGACTCCACTTTTTTTTTTTTTGAGTTCGAGTCTCATTCTGTCGCTCAGGCTGGAGTGCAGTGGCCGCTCTCGGTCACTGCAGCCTCGACCTGCTGGGCTCCGGCGATCCTTCCGCCTCAGCCTTCCAAGCAGCTGGAACTGCAGGCGCGCGCTACCACGCCCGGCTGATTTTTGGATTTATTGTAGAGATGAGGTCTCGCCAAGTTGCCCGGGCGGGTCTCGAACCCGCGGGCTCGGGCAAATCCTGTGTTCTTAATGCCGCGACAGCATTGGTCCAACCCACAAGTCCGTCAAGCGATGACGTCACAACCAGGATTGGAACCGATGAGCCTTTCTCCTGTTACAGAATTTCTGGGCCGCCTCCCCCTTCCCTTTGGCCGCTCCGTGGAGATGGCGGTCTGCGTGGCAAACAGGGCGTCTCTGACCGAGGCAAAGCCCTACACGGAAAAGCTGGGACCCCTGGGAGGGCAAGAGGGGCGTTGAGGGGCGGGTGGAGGGAGACGTGCTCCCGCGGCCCTCAGAGCCCCCCAGCACTCCTCCACAGGCCCGGAGCTGGCCCGCCGCTCGAGCCCTCCACCCCCTGCCCGCTGGCTCCACTCCTCTCCCCTTCTCTGCTGTCTTTCCTGGTCCCTGGCAGAGAAGCGGCCCAGCGCGCCCCTCCCCGCTCTTCCGGAGCTTCCAACAGGACTTTGAGTCTCTGTGGAGGTGAGGGATCCTGACTTTTTTTTTTTTTTTTGC